CAGTACTAGAGATTGTGGGCATTCTGTGATGCTGGTTCTCTTCCCATTTGTATTAGTGAGGGATCCACTATTGACTCATAATGTTACTCATAATTTGGATTTATTGGAGGGAAGGCACAGTTCCTTAGCTTTTTATTTTTTTGTTGTTGTTGTTGGTCATGGGGCTTGAACTCTGGGCCTGGGAGCTGTCCCTGATCTCTTCAGCTCAAAGCAAATGCTCTAACCACTTGAGCCACAATGCTACTTCTGGTTTTCTGGCGGCTAATTGGAGATAAGAGTCTCAAGGACTTTCCTGCCCATCTGGCTTTGAACTGAGATCCTCGGATCTTAGTCTCTTGAGTAGCTAGGATTAAAGGTGTGAGCCTCGGGCACCTAGACTGATTAGCTTTTTTTGATCAAGGCTGGCACTTGATCACTTGAGCCACACCTCTATTTCTGGCTTTTTAGTGGTTAATTGGAAAGAAGTCTCTCGGACTTTGCTACTTGGGCTGGCTTTGAACTGTAATCCTCAGATCTCAGCCTCCTGAGTAGCTAGGATGATAGGAATGAGTCACTGGTGCTGGCTTCACGTTTTTTTTTTTTTTAATTAGCACCAATTAGTCATAAAATAGTATTTCATTTGGACACATTCGTATCTACATATAACATACCTTTATCAGATTTTCTTCCTCTGCACTCTCTCATTCCCCTTCCCTCTGGTTTGGAACTTCATAGAAATGGAATCATGCTATGGTTATAATTTTCTTCTGTCAAATTATGTTTGTGAAAGCTCGTTATGGAGGCACCCTCATGGAATCCCAGCAATGAGGGGCTCAGGTATGAGAACTGTGTGAGTTTGAGGCCTGGGCTACATAAATGAATTTTGGAGCTCCTACATGCCAATACTTTGTCTCAAATAAACATTTTTAAAAATTAATTTAAGTAGTTAATTTAATTTTAATTTAATTACATTGGTTATATAGAGGGGGATTTCATTGTTATATTTAAATTATGTTTGTTGATTATAACTATGTAACTATATGGAGAGACATGGGGGAGGGGGATATAAAAGAGACTACCTCACCTTTATGTTTGTATAAAGATTCCATAAGCAATCCCACTGAATGCTGTTGGCCAATAGAAGGAAAGAGAGAACAATAGAGGAGGTTGTTCTGATTTTAAGTACTAAATATACATCTAGCCAGGCACTGGTGACTCTTGCCTGTAATCCTAGCTACTATAACTAAGCCAGCTTTAGCAGAAAAGTCTGGGAGACTCTGATCTCTAATTAACTAGCACAAAGCTTAAAATAGAAGTGTAGTTCAAATAGTAGAGCACCACCCTTGAGTGGAAAAGCCAAGTAAGAATGCAAAGTCCTAAGTTCAAGCCCCAGAACTTGCATGCCTATACATACACACACGTGCATGTGTGTACATGTGTACAATGACATGTTGAAACTCCTTGGCACAGTTCATGTAAAACTAAAAAGACAAACAGAAAGGAGAGGAAAATAAGACAGACTATGTTGGGAGCTGGGTACCAGAGGAATGAGGGAAAGCTAAGAAAGAGGGCACATGAGGGGCAATATTATTGATGTACTTCATATGCACTATGAAAATGAAACTTTTTAAAATTGTTCTAAGAAGAAGGGGATAAGGGAGAGATAGATCTAGTACACTTTGTGGAAGTTTCACAATATGTATGCTAATAATTTTTTCTAAATTATGGGATACATCTGCATTGAATATGTGCCTGTAGTTTTCCCACTTTTTTATTGTGGAGTGATCTATTATATGGATATATCATTAAAAAATTTAAATCTATATAATAAACTTTACTGCTATGAATATTCTTATGTATGTATGTCTCTCTGGGGCACATGTACCATATAACATAATTATTTCATGTCTTATCTCTTTCAGTAGAAGAGAATAACTTTTTTTTTATACTGGGGTTTGAACTAGGCAATCACTTAGGCCACATCTCCAGTCTTTTTTTTTGGGGGGGGGGGGGAGAGGCGGGGGTTGGTCATGGGGCTTTAACTCTGGGTCTGGGCACTGTCCCTCAGTTCCTCAGCTCTTCACTTCAAGGTGAACCCTCTACCACTTGAGCCACAGTGCCACTTCCAGTTTTCTGGTAGTTTATTGGAGATTAGAGTCTCATAGACTTTCCTGCCTGAGCTGGCTTTGAACTGCAATCCTCAGATCTCAGCCTCCTGAGTAGCTAGGATTAGAGGTGTTAGTCACTGGAGCCTGGTTCCAGTCTTTTTTACTTTAGTTTTTTTTTTTTTTCTAGATAGAATCTTGTGCTTTTTGCCCACACCACCCTTAGATTGAGATTTTCCTCTAGTGCCATCTATGTAGCTGAAATTGAAATTGTAGACATATATTACCATGCTTGGTTTGTTTGTTTATATGAAGTCTCCATAACTTTTTTCTCCACCAGCTTCAACACTTGGTCTTCCCAATCTTCATCTCTCAGATAGCTGGGTTTACAGGCATGCATCACCACTACTCAGGCTGGTTTCAAACTGTAATCCTCAGATCTCAGCCTCCTGAGCAGCTAGGATTACAGGCATGAGTCCTGAAACTCAGCGGTGTGGCCTTGATCTTGAGAGCCAGGCTTCAAATCTGATTATCAATGGCAGTAAGTCTGCCATTTACTAGGAGCTGCTTCAGGAGACATCAACACCCACTATCTCTGTGGCTCTAGCCTCCAGTGAGTCAACACAGGGAGTTTACCTGGCTGATCTTTAACCCTATCCCATCAAAGTTCTCCCTGCTGAGCATGCTTTTGCTCACCCTAGAAGTCAGATATAAGGAGGTGGATGGGAAGGAGCTCTGCATGTTTTCTCAAAAGCACCCAGCCATCTGGAAATATTAATTGCTCAAACACTCAAGTCTGAGTATAAGCTCTCTCCTGAAGATAAAAGGACCTGGGGCAAAAGTTCAAATAGGCTGGGCGCTGGTGGCTTACCCCTGTAGTTCTAGCTATTCTGGAGGCTGAGATCTGAGGATCAAAGTTCAAAGCCAGGGCTAGGAAGGTGGCTCAGTGGTAGAGTGCTTGCCTTGCATGCATGAGGCCCTGGGTTCGATTCTTCAGCACCAAGTAAGCAGAAAAAGCTGAAAGTGGCGCTGTGGCTCAAGTGGTAGAGGGCTAACCTTGAGCTGAAGAGCTGAGGGACAGTGTCCAAGCCCAGAGTTCAGGTCCACAACCGACAAAAACAAAACAAAACAAAACAAAACAAAACCCAAAAAACAAAGTTCAAAGCCAGACCTGCGAAGGAAAGTCTGTGAGACTCTAATCTCCAATTAACCACCAGAAAACCTAAGTGGCACTGTGGCTCAAGTGGTAGAGCATTGGACTAAGCTGAAGAGCTGAGGGACCCGCTCAAGCCCCACGGCCAACAAAAACAAAAACAAATAGGTGTCACATTTTTACCTAAATTATTTATAATGATTAACTACTCCAACTAACAACTAACCTTAGTATACTCTATACTAAGCCAGAGGCTGGTGGCAAACTCCTGTAATCCTATCTACTTGGGAGGCTGAGATCTGCAGATCAAGGTTTGAAGTCAGCTTGGGCAGGAAAGTCCATGAGAATTTTATCTCCAACTAAGCATCAGGAAATTGGAGGTGAAGGTGTGGCTCAAGTGGTAGAGGATCAACCCTGGGTGGTAAAGCTAAGGGACAGGGCCTAGGCACTGAATTCAAGCCCTAGTAGCACACGTGCACTACTACACAAATATAGCTTATTCTAGTTTGAAAAATATACATCTTTATATATATATATATATATATATATATTTATTTATTTATTTTTTGGGTCTGGTCATGGGGCCTGAACTCTGGGCCTGGGCACTGTCCCTCAGCTCTTCAGCTCAAGGCTAGCACTCTACCACTTGAGCCACAGCGCCACTTCCGGCTTTCTTCTTTTTGCTTATGTGGTGCTGAGGAATCGAACCCAGGGCCTCATGCATGCAAGGCAAGCGCTCTACCACTAAGCCACCTTCCCAGCCCAAAAATATACATCTTAATAACCTCATAGAACAAGTTTGAAGGGAGAATTCTTGGACTCCTGGGATATAGGCACTTGAATGGGATAGTGAGGGAAATGAGGCCTTGGCTGGTCTACTGGTTATAGCTTCCCTGTCTTATCTCATCTCTGTTCTGCTCCACTAGGATCTGTGGCCATAACAGTTCAAATGTCCCAGTGCTCTGCCACCTTCCCCAAACACAAACAAACCTGCCCTTTGGCCCTTCAGGGAATGTCCAGACTCTGTCCTAGAGCAGGTGAGCCTGGGAAGAGGTCACAGCTTCAGGAACCTGGGGAGGAAATTCTGGGGCCAGAGCTTCGCAGGACTTGGGCCTTTGGCGGAGACTGTGTTGACTTCTTAGCTCTGTCATAGGATTATGGTCAGAGGGAGGTTAGATAAGAAGCATTCAAATCTGGGGCCTAGGGCAGGCTCTCTTGCCCAAGTATAAAGGCAGTGCATTTTGTATATTATTTCTCTTCTCCTGTTAGGAGTGCAGGCACCGTGTTTTGCTGTAGAGATAGCAGCTTATCCCAGTGCCTGGCATACAAAATGCCAGATATAGCCCACTGGCCTACCTATCAGGCCTGCAGTCTGGCCCCAGTCCTGCTATGGACAGTTTTTCCTATTTTATTAGGTCATTTAAACTTAACCATTGTACCCACGAGGCTCCCACGAGGTGAAGTGACTCTCCCACGGTCACGTAGCAGGGTTGCTTTGCACTCCGCCACTTGGCTCTCCTCTCTCTCTTTTATTTTTAATTTTTGCCTGGGGTGCTGGTCGCGGCCCCTCCGGGGAGCCCCGCCTTTCCCGCCGCCGCCGCCCCCTCGCTCCTCTCTCAACTCCCCCTCCTCCCCTCTCCCCCCCACCAGTTCTCCCGGAGCCACCCTGCCTGCGGCGCCCCCACCTTCGCGAAGCCCCGCCCACCCCTGGGCTCACGTCACGTGCCGCCCCCCCTTGCGCCTGCGCACTGCCTATTTCCCGCTGTCAGGATGAGGAGGCGGAGGTCGGCGCTCCGGTCCGTCTCTGCCCGGGGCTGTGGCGGTGCCGGCAGCTCCAGCCTTAGCGGTTCCTCCCTAGGTGGTGGCGGCGGCGGCTCCATCGACGCCTCTTCCGCCAGCTGAGCCCGCGGGCAGCCGGGACGCCGCTTCCCCGCCCATCCTCTCTCCGCTTCCCGAGGCCGGCCGCCTGGCCATGGCGCAGCCCGGCCCGGCTTCCCAGCCTGACGGTAAGGCGCCCACCCGGGCAGGCGCGGCCTGCCGGGCGCCGGCGCCAGCGTCGCGGGGGCGGGGGGGGGGGGAGGAGGGACCTCTGGGCGGGCGGCGGGAAGCGCGCGCCGCAGGCCCGGGGTGGGGTGGGGGGGGTGACTGCCGGGCGGGGGCGGGGGCCCGGGGCGGGCGGGTGGCGCGGGGCCTGAAGCCTGCGGCCGGGGAGGGGGCGACGGCGGCGGCGGCGGCGGCGGCGGCGGCGGCGGCGGCGGCTGTGGGGCACGCGCGCGCGCGCGCGCGGGCGGACGACAAGCGGGGAGGCTGTGGGGGCCGCGCTGAGCCGGGGGAACGTGGAGAGGAAGCCGCTGTCGGCGCGACCGGCACGTGGGTCCTGCTGGTGGGGTGGTGGAAATCGGGAGCGTGTGTATTCTGTATTCTCAGGGGGGAAAAAAAAATCTTGGGTGTCTTTGGCCTCATCGGTGCCCCTCCGTCCACGCTCCAGCGTTCTGTGCTCCCAGTTTTGTGACATCAAGACCCTAGTGGGGATCAGCAAGTGGATTTAGTTAGCATTCTTTGAGTGGCAGCGTGGCTTAATAATGGTAAATTTCCGGGGTCCGTGATCCTTGGCCGAACTCTGGGCCTGTTTCCCAGCCTCTTAAAACCTCAGTAGTGTCATTCATGAGAGGTTAATTCATCCCTATTTTATCTATGAAGATGGCAACATTCGTGTATAATGATAGCTTAGTATTATTTTGAGAGTACTAGGCATGAGAATGGCGTTTGGGAAGGCCCTAAATCGAGGAAATGTGTCACTTTCTTTTCTCTTCCTCTTTTCTCTTCTTATAGGGTCTCTCACTATGTTTGCCCAGGCCGGTTCCTAGGCCCGTGGTTTCCGTTCGCCTCAGTCTCCTGAGTAGCTAGCGCTCACAGTACAAGTGCCACGCACAGCTGTGCCTTTTCTAGTGTTCAGGTTCTTGGACCGAAAAAGAGCTCCACCCCAAATAATCCAAAGTGATTGTCAGAGCCCTTCCTGACCTTTTGCTGCTGGGGCTGACCACATTGCTCCTGAATTTACTACCTGAAGTTAAGTTTGGAATGAATGCGCCTGGTCTAGCCAGATCCTACTATATCTAGCTGAGAAAGTTGTGTCAGGTGGATTTCCACAATCAGCCCATGCGTTGGATCTGTAAATGTGTATACAATGTTGAGGATATAATGCTTGGCACAGAAAGTACTTAAAAACTTGCCTTTTCCAAGAGTAGTCTATTGAAATAACCTTTCATAAAAACCTTACTGTTTGTTCTTGCCTTTGGGGAACTGGAAACAATGTTATCAGATTTTAAGGCTCTCACTGCTCTTTGAGAAGTGTGCTTCATAGCCTGGTATCCTGTAGTTTTGGATGTTGTTAGTTGCCTGAGGGGGATGCCCGGTGCCTACCCTGCAAGAATTAGCTTACTGGTTTTATTTCAGTGGAGGAGATGGGAGAGACTATTGGGGTCTTTTCAGGCTACATTTTAATTCTCACGTTTTGTGTTTGGCGTGAAGGGAAGAAAACTGCGTTTACAAACCCTCTTTTGTTAAGGCAGTGGCAGAATAACAGAAAGCTCAGTGGCTTCTAGTTCTGATCAAGAGTGGTAGGTATGTGTAGCTGGCTACTGCTTTCTCTTGAGTTGCATGGAAACAAACGTCTAGGGCAGCTCAGGTGACATGACAGTTTGGAATCTAAATTCCCTGCCTCTTTCAAGATCTGGTCTTCTTTGTAAATAGGCAGAAGTGACTAAGCACTTAAAAGAAGGTAGGAAAACATTAGCTTTAGGAAATTTATTCTTGCTATTCATAATGCAAGTTTAGTTCCTGTTTTGCAGGTTTGAGACTATACTGTGAGATTTAGTTTGCAATTTTAGATAGCAATTTTTATTATACATTAATGTAGCAAATGTGCAGCCACAGCTAGGAGAGATAATTTTGTCAGTGTGTTTCTTGATGAATTTAATTTTTTTTCTTTAGTTGAGATCATACTGACCACTTTAGTTTTAGGCAAATGAGTTTATTTTTAGCCCTGCTGATTCTAAATCCAAAAAAGTCACACTAGTGCATAGTTATTCCTTCCTCCCCCCCCCCCATTAAACTGTCAGTAAAAAAGATAACTGCTTAGTCTTTGACTTTATTTTGCTTGTATTCTGTATCAGAAGCATCTATCTTTTTTTTTTTGTTTGTTTGTTTTTTTTTGGTCTGGTTGTGGGGCCTGAACTCTGGGCCTGGGCGCTGTCCCTCAGCTCTTCAGCTCAAGGCTAGTGCTCTACCACTTGAGCCACAGTGCCACTTCCACCTTTTTTTTTTTCTGCTTATGTGGTGCTGAGGAATCGAACCCAGGGCCTCATGCATGCAAGGCAAGCGCTCTACCACTGAGCCACCTTCCCAGCCCGAAGCATCTATCTTTTATGACATTGTCTCTCTTTTTTTTTTAAAGATATACTTGATTGGTGTTTCATGGAGATATGATAGGTTAAGAAAAGAGCAGATTTATGTTTAAAATGACTTTATTTACTGGTGGTAATGGTCTTGAATTTAGAGCCTCGAATTTGGCTTCCCTCACTTTTCCCTCTGACATTTGAGCCACATTTACCATTTCTGGCATTTTTGCTCGTTCATTGGAGGTAAGAGTCTCTAGGACTTTTCTTCCTGGGCTAGCTTCAAACAGATCCTTCAGATCTCAGCATCCTAAGTAGCTAGGATTGCAGGTATGAGCCACCAGCCCCAAGCTTAATTGACAATTTTAAATATAGTCATTAAGTTTTTCTTTTTAGTTGCTAATTTTGAACATTTTTTGGATTTTTTAATAGTGCATATTTACTCATTTGGAATGATAGTGATTTTATTTTGTTGGTTGTGGATCTTGAACTCTGTGCCTGGGTGCTGTCCCTGAGCTCTTCAGCTCAAGGCCAGCACTCCACCACTTGAGCCACAGAACCACTTCCAGTTTTTGCTGTTTATGTGGTGCTCAGGAATCGAACCCAGGGCCTCATGCATTTAAGGAAATCACTCTATCAATGAGCCACTTTCCCAGCCCCTGATGGTGATTTTAATAGCCAGATGAATTTCAGTTAATTTATTTTCTTTGTAGAATGCAAAGATATTAAAAAAATACTCATATCTATAAAACTATCTTTGTAATTGTTGCTGTGATTTTATTTCATTACTTTTTTATAAACATACTTTTTTTTATAATCTCTCCAGTAAATAGATGTTAGAAGAAAGGATTTTGAGTATTTTTCATCATAAGAAATGATAGGTGTTTGATTTAGATATATTTAATCTTACTATTTCACATTATACGAAAGTATCAAAACATCACACATTGATATGTACGACTTCTGTGCTTTTATATCAGAAAAATGGCATTGTATGTATGCACATGCATGTGTGCAGGTGTGTGCCAATCCTGGAGCTTGGACTTAGGGCCTGGGCACTGTCCCTCAGCTTTTTCACTCAAGGCTGGTGCTCTACCACTTGAGCCACAGCTACACTGATGAGCCATCAGTGCCCAGCGATTTATATTAATTTTATTTATTTATTTATTTATTTGTTGGTCGGGCTTGAACTCTGGGCCTGGGCACTATCCCTCAGCTCTTCAGTTCAAGGCGAGCGCTCTACCACTTGAGCCACAGCACCACTTCTAGTTTTCTGGTGGTTTATTGGAGATAAAGAGTGTCACCGACTTTTCTGCCCAGGCTGGCTTTGAACCGCGATCTTCAGATCTCAACCTCCTGAGTAGCTAGGATTACAGGCGTGAGCCACCGGGATCTGGCCTATTAAAAAAAAATTTTTTTTAAATGTTACATTAAAATGTTGTTCCTTTCCCCCACCCGCCTTGTGGTTACTATATTGTCAGTGGAGTATTAGGGAACCAAGGGTGGTATGAATCCTAGAAAGATATGATGGGGCCCAAACCAGGATGTGTTGATGGAAGTTACATTTTGCAAGTGTGGCCAGTAGGGTTTAATGCATGGAATGTGGGATGTGTAAGGGAGTCAAGGAATGCCAAAGATTTTGGAATTTTCCAAATGTTTCAGCCTCATTGACTGTGAGAGGTATACAGTGCTGGGATGCCTAAAATGGAGGCTTTTGACTTATTTAGGGGAGGTCAGGAAAAGTTTCTGAGGAAGTAATCTTGACACTATGATCTGATGAATGAGCAGTTTCTTGGAGAAAGCAGGATGAGTAAGAAAACTGAAGAAAACCTGGAGTAGAGGGAGAGGATGAAAAATGGGCATAGGTTGCCCTAGATAGAACTGTATGACAAGGGCTGGGAAGGTGGCTCAGTGGTAGAGCGCTTGCCTTGCATGCCTGAGGCCCTGGGTTCAATTCCTCAGTACCACATGAGCAAAAAGAAAAAAAAAGCCGGAAGTGGCGCTGTGACTCAAGTGGTAGAGCGCTAGCCTTGAGCTGAAGAGCTCAAGGACAGTGCCCAGGCCCAGAGTTCAGGCCCCACGACCGGACCCAAAAAAAGAAAGAAAGAAAGAAAGTCCCAGGATAGAAATTTTGATCTCATGCTTACTCCTTTATCTGTTTCCCCCCCACCCCTTTACCATACAGTTATACAGAAAGCATTTTTAAAAATTACATCTGACATGTTCATTTTCATTTATGGTTTCTTGGTCTCTTGTCTTCCTCAGGAAGATTTTGTTCCAGTCCGCGTTTACAAAACACAAGCAAAAGGATTCATGCTCAATACTTTAATTGGTTTGGTACTTTAATCCATCTGTGATTTATTTTAAAACTTAAACAGGGCAAGTTTAAAAGAGTTTTAACAGGAACAATTACCTACAAAGAATAAAGAGGACTTTAAGAATAAAGTAATAGCAGACATTAGGAGCAACTACTTTCTAGGATTGAGGTGGAGCACCCAAAGAAGGGACCCATATGGAAGAGGCTCCTCCCAAAACTGATACCCAGACTTTGTTGGAGAAGGTGTTGTTGTGACTTTCTGAATGGCAGAGTTTATTGAGGGGCTGCTGTA